GCCGTCGCACCGCCGCGGGACGCCGCCATTTGATCTGGCACGACCATCGCGCGCGGCGGCAGACGGTCGCGAAGCGCCTCGTGGAGCGCCGCAACCTGACGCTTGCGAAGGACGGGTCCCTCTGTGGATTCGTGCCATAGCGAATCGCAGATCTGTAGTAATTTTGCCAGTTAGCCGCCCGCGGCACAAGAGCCGGGGGCAAGACGGACTTCTGGACAGGCCTCCCATTACCCCCCGCCGCAACTGCCACGGACGTCGCACGCGCGCGCTTACATACCCGGGGGAAGGGGTGGCGGAGGGCTGCCGCGACGGCGCCGGGGGAGCCCTGGCCGGCGGAGGTCCGCCGCGACGGGGAGGGCTGCCGAGTTCAGCTTTAGAGAGCCCCACTCCAGCCCGCGCCGTGCCTCGACCTCAGAATCATCGACATCACCGTCTCGCGCGCGCCGGCGCGGGCTTCGCGCGCGCTCTCGCGCCGTTTTAGGGGTTGCTTCGCGTCGCCCGCCCCCCTCAAATTCCATCGCCCGACGCGCGCCTCGGGGGGCGCCGCCGAAGGTGTTGAGCGCATCGAAGGCGCTCGAAGACGCCGTTGAGGTCGCGAAACGTGTGCGCAAAATGCAAAATTGACCTGGGCTTCGGAGGAACTATGTGTGAGCAGTCCGCGAGCGCCTCGCGGCGGCAGAGGCGAGCCTCGAGCTCGCGACGTCGGCGGAGTCGCCCGCGAAGGCCTTCGTCAAGCGCCTCTTCTTCAAGGAGTCGTCGAACGCGTCGGAGGTCGACGCCCTGCGCGAGCAACTCGCGGCGGCGGAGGCGCGCGCGGCGACCCAAGCGAAGGAGTCCGCGCTGGAGAACGACGAGCTGCGCGAGAGACTCGCGGCCTCGGACGCGCGCGCGGCGACGAGGAGGCCCGCGTCGGGCGCCAGCCCCCGACAAGCTCCTTCTCACCAGACCCCGACGAGCTCCTTCTCACCAGACCCCGACAAGCTCCTCCACCAGAAGCTACCGTGGTCGACTGGTGCCCTCCCACCCCCAGTAAAAGACATTCGTGTCACGTCGGAGGAACGCCGCACCGCAACTCCCCAGGTGCTATTGCCAGAAGTTCGCCGCGTCGCCCGGCGCGCCGGCCGCGCCCGCGTCGCCGAGCGCGTCCTCGACGAGCGCGCGCAGCCGCGCGCCCGCGGCGACGCAGGCCGCGAGCGCGGCGACGAGCGCCGGCGGCGCGAGGACGAGCTGCGCCGCGGCGACGACGCCCGCGGCCGCCAGGAACGCCGACGCCACCCTGAGGCTCGCGACGACGCGCGTCCGGAGGCCGTGCGCCGCGAAGCCCGACAGGATGAAGACGAAGTGGAAGCCGAGGAGGTACGCGTGCGGCGTCTCGAGCACGCGGCGCGGCGCGTGCGCGTCCGGCGACGACCGGCGGAGGAACGCGAAGGCGGCGAAGGCCAGGAAGCACGCGCACCAGTAGGGCCTACCGGACGCGTCGGTCGTCATGTTTCGTCGTGTCCCCGGACACAAGGACGAGCTCTCGAAAGCGGCCGCGGGACACTGAGTAGGGACGCGAAGTGGCTCCGCTGGTGTCGCACGGCGCGGTCGAGGCGGAACGGCCCCGGGTCCCCGGTCCTCGGCGCCTCGCGGTCCGGGGCCTTCTCCGGCGGCGCGACGCGGTCGTGCGCGTCGCGCGGCAGCCGCGCGAGCGCGACGCCGAGCGCGGCGCCGACGGCCGCGCGCGCGGCGAAGAGGGCCGCCGCCGCGCGGCGCAGCGGCGCCGCCGCGCCGGCCGCGAGGCCGGCCGCCGTGCGCGCCGCGCCCGCGCCGCCGGCGAAGCAGGCGAAGACGCTGATGGCGCGGAGCCGCGGGAACGCGCGCGCGTCGGAGAACATGAGGTAGGCGTTGAAGACGAAGATGCCCGCGCCGTGGATGGCGAAGTTGACGCCGCGGTCGAAGCGCGACCCCGGCGGGTCCGCGGCAACGGCGACGAGCAGCGCCTGGCCGACGAAGGTGGCGCCGTGCGCCACGGCGAGGGGCCAGGCGGCCGCCGCGCCGGGCACGGCCGCCGCCGCGAGCGCCGCGAGGTCGACGACGGGGCCGCGCGCGGGCGCCGGCGCGGCCGGCGCCGCGGGCTCGGGCCGGCCGCCGGAGAGCGCCGCCGCGGCGCCCGCGGCCGCGGCGGCCCAGACGCCGGCGCCCGCGGCGTAGAAGAGGGGCGCCGGCGCGGCGAGCGCGTCGACGGCGAGCGTCGCGGCCGTCGTCGCGCTCGCGCTCACGAAACCGACGCCGTAGATCACCGCGTCGGCGGCGGCGCCCCGCTCGAGCGCGTCGGCGCACGCGAGGCCCACGGCGGAGACGAAGGCCACGTGGAACGCGAGCGTGTAGCCCTCGGCGTAGAGCGCCGGCTCCGGCAGCGCGGCGGCGTAGAGCGCCGGCTCCGGCAGCGCGGCGTGGAGCGCCGGCGCTGCTCGCGCGTCGCGCGCCGCGGACGCGAGCGCG